TTATCTTGAAGAGACAAGTGCTTCCTTGTGGTCCAGAATCTGTGCTTCAAACACATTCCTTTCCACATCTCGTGGAGTGTCAGACACCTCCATCTACTGCATGACAGATTTTCCTGACGAGTATACCTCCAAGAAATGCAGTGGGAAACAGGATTAACTGTAACACTCTTGACACTTGTTCCCCACATTTTCAATTAGCAAATGTAAACAATAAACAATATAAAATGATCAAAGATATGCAAACTATGGTTAGATTAGTGATTGTTTTGCCTTTTTTATAGCTTCAACTTTAATGGCTCATCTCTCCTTCATTTTCACTAATATTCCAGGGTAAATTACTAAGTTATAATAACACTATTGTAATACACAATAAAATTAGTTTTGAACTATGGATTAAAAGTAGGTCTCAATAATGCAGGGAAAGTTTTGCAGTGGATTTGGCACAGAACTGAAATATTCATCAGCACGCATTTGTGCAAAATAATCTGCAATGCACCCTGCCACAGCTTTCACGCATCAGTTCAGCTCACAGTTACATAAAGAGACACTTGTGAGAAAAAAGGCAAGCAGCAGAGATGTGCTGCAGACAGTCAGAGTGCCCCAGCAGAGGAGAGGGGCATCTCCACTGCCCCATCTCTGCAGTCTGCTCTACCCGCTCCGAATTAGGGCAAGAACATGGCATAGCCATTAGATGGCAACAACTCCAAATTACTTCCCATCCCTCCTGTCTCTGACCCAGTGACCTAAAATAATCCACATAAAATACATTTAAGTTTTACCACAGTTCAAAGCCAGTACAGACCTTGCTTCCTGTGCTAGCGTGTTTTTAAGCGAGCAAAAGGCCGTCAGAAATCCTCCCCTTGAAAGGAAACTGTTGCTGGGAGCCAGCGGTGGGCAGCTCTCCCACAGCAGGGGAATGCCGTCTTCTGTGCACCTCGTGGGACAGAAACACCTTCTTGAAGAAGACGAACGCATCGTTTCTTTAGAAGTACAATGAAGACCGACCCTGATAAGATGCCTGCAACTTGTTCTGAAGACTTTTAAAGAGTTACCTGTATCAGGTAAATACTCTGGAAAAGGTATTATATTAGATGTTGTTTAAATACTTCAGGAAATTTCTTCAGCACTGATCAACAGTGGTTATTGGAATCCAGCAGCTTCATTTCGACACTCTCTTGAATATTTGTTTATATTTTTCTATTTGTTCCATAAATTCCGAGTATGACATTTTAACTTTAGAGGCTTCTTTGGCTTATATTCTTTTCTATAAATCCACACAAAAGTCTAGATTTTAATAGAGAAGTTCAATATAAAATTTAACTATTTTATACTTGACAGGACTGTCTTCACCACACACAAACAAAAAAAGAATTAAAATGCTATTTTACCTGCCTTTCCTTCCTATTCCCATAATTGATTATAAAGGAGATAGCTACTACATATTTTCTCTACCACATAGGCTCTTTTTTACATTAGACAATATTTGTTCTGCTTTAACAGAAGCAGCAAGCAAAAACACTCATAAAACTGCCTTCCTGCCAGTGATATCATAGTCTAACACAACCTGTGCTGGGAAAGACGTCCTTCACTTAGGTTGATAAAGGACATCTACAAGAACGTGTAAAAAGTTTTACATGTGCACAGCAATACATACAAGGATATAGACAAAGAAAATAATGCTGCAAATAACATTAACAGAAATATACATATTTTTATTTTTTTAAAAAGTTCACCAACTCCTTAAGGTCAATACCTACTTTAAAACTCAAATTGAAGTTGAAGGGGCAGAGACTTAGTGGACTATCACACAAGAAAAAGCAAATTCTGATATTAGCAATAGAAACTGTCCATTTGACACGGTGATGCTAGACTGATTCAAGAGTGACAGTTCTTATCTAGCCACCAGAAGGAATTTACATTCTGCTAAGTAATACGTTGAGTGCGAACAAATTTCCATAAGACTAAAATTTTCAAATGTGTGTTCAAGCATAAAAGAACTTGGATAAAATGTTAATCCCATAGGTAAGAACTGCTTACTGAGCTGTTTTCATAGGGAATCACCTCTCTGCAGGCAGGCAACATACATAAATCTATGTAATATTTTACTTATTTTTAGCGCAGACATTGCCTAAGCTGGTGATTGGAATTCATGCAAATATCAAAGTAGGAAAGCGTGCAGTTCACAGAGCGTGCATTATCAGCAGTTGCCGCTTTCCTCCCTGCTTCACCAGAAAGACAGAATATTCCTAAGGTTTGGTATGCAGCAGTATAAAAATTACGTTACAGTGATATAAAATGACACCAGGTCTATTTTCACCTGTCTATGGAAAGAAAATGTAGAGCCATGAACCTGGTCATCATAACACAGTTGCAAAATTGTCTTGTGAAGAACATATTTTTAAAAGAATAGAGAAATACTGCACAGCCCTAGACATCGTATGGAAATAAGACCAACTTGGTGGCTCACTTTCATTTTCACTTTGTATCAACTCTTTTTAACACATTTAACTGAATCAGCAGCAGAACAGCTATCAAATACACAGGGTCAAGTCCTCCTGACCTTTAGGGATAGAAAATACTAACGAGAAGAGATGTAGTGCACCAGAACATCTAATTAGCAGATGATGTGGTCGTTCACCACCTAAAAAGCATACAAGCAGTGATACGGTTGAAAAAGCAGAAAAACGACGACCCGAGAGTGCCTTGAATGTGCATACGGCTGCTTTACACATAACATTTGTGTGAACAGGCTCATCACGTTAGCATAGGTTCATGAATCTATATCCCACTGGAAATAATTCCCATCGAGGGGAATGCTGGATCCCAAGCCCTCCCTGTGCTGGGGCTAACACCAGAGGACTGGTCTACATATCTCAGTTACACGCTTGCAGTTCTTACACCAAGCAAACAGGAAGCCATTTATAGGAAGCTCTGCAAAGTGCAGACTGCTAAGGAGATCCGTAACGCGAGCAAAACAAGAGCTGCGGAGCGACTTTCGTCCTCGTTACAGTGTGGTGCTAAGGTGGCATTTCAGTTCTACATAATTACTTTTAGTCTGTCGCATAGTTCGAACACTTCAAGTCCAATATTAATGTTGAGGTAGTGCCTACAGCCCAAGTCAGTGACAGAGATTCCAGGATACCAGGGACTGAGTACATGCAGCTAAAAACCAGTATCTCAAATACTCAAAGATAAAATACGCATCATCTCCAGTAATTACATTTTTTTTAAAGCTTGCCATGAGTAAGAGTAAATATTTGGAAGTCAACATGCTGAAGCAGTATTAGCTTTTTTTCCAGATACCAAGTATCCAAACAGTTTCCTGGCTAGCTTACAAGACACCATTTTACCCACAGCAGCTCTCACATTTTATAACTTGAGACATTATTTCAGCCTACCAGAACCACTGGACCTATTGATATAGTTTCAAAGGCAACACACTGGTCTTCAGAGCTGAAACACCGAGTAAACTAGGATTTTCTAATAAAAGACAGACACCATCCCATTGCTATGAAAGCACCTGCCTAATCTAACCGCATTACAAGAAAGAAGGTATTAAAGTTATAATCAAACCCATTATATGATTTAACATGTAATAGAGCAAACAATGCCAGAGCTGTATTGTTATTAGTAGCCTTTTTTTCTGCCACAGTAAGGTATTCCAGGCCACAGGGATCATGAATCATTGCTAAAGAGACTGCAGACCTTACAAATCTTACAGGTATTTCAAAGAGAGACCGGAGCTGAAGGCTTAGGAGGGTACTACATCAGCAGAGAGAGAAGTAGCAACAAAAACACAAGAGGAAAGTGGTAAAAAGCGTTTCACTAGAATATAGGACTTTTTGCCTGCAGATTACTTGGAAAAATGTCTAAGGAAGGTACCTAAGATAAAAATGGATTGTCAACAGGCCTTGAATTGCTACACAAAGGTCAAAATCTCCCTGGAAAATTCCTGTGGTATGTAGAACTGGTAAGGTCAAACCCCACTAAACCAGAAGAAGCCACAAGACATTTCCCTTGTAAAAAAGAGAGAAAGAAGCAACCATAGCACTTTAGTAACATAATTCAATTCCAATTGTGTGACAATACGCAGAACAATAATTAAGAAATTCCAGTTTCCAAGCAACTCCCTATGCTTAAAGGACTGAAAATATTCTAGGAAAAAAAAATCAGCCAGCAGTACAGCCATCAAATATAGAAATATGTGTCTTCTGATTAAGCTAAATAATTCCAAATTGAGAAAACCTTCTGGGAAAATGAAAAATGTAGTGATCAGAATTGTGAAAATCATTTTTAACCAAGGAAAAGTTTAATGTATGAGGCTCCCACCAGTTAAAGTAACTCACTAGTAACAGCAAAATTTTACACACAGATAGCCCCCAAAAAGTAGAAATCCAGAATTTCACCATTACTCTAGACCAGCAATAGTCTAATTCTAGACAATGTACAGAGGCAACTGCTCTCCAAATCACTAAGTTTTGTTGATTCCTGTATGGCACTCAAAGACATACCATAGAAAGGGAACCCTCTGTAAACTGTCATTTAAAAAAAGCATGCAAGCTCAGATCCTGATACAATTGCTAATATTTGAAAGTCCCCACCATAACAGCCAGTTGAAGACATGCTACTATAAAAATTCTTCAGGTACAGATGCTTTGTAAAATTCTAGACTTTCCATTATATGTTAGCTTTTCTTCTTCAGCAAGGTTTGAAATACATTACTCCTAAGATCTTACAGATACTTCCTCACTCCAAAACACCCGTACCCCCACTGCAGAGGAAAGTGTTCCTCATTGGATAAAATGTATGCTAAAGGAAAGTAACTTCTCAGAATTATTGACTTATTTCACTATATTTCATACATGTAAACATCATTAGAGAACAGGCTAATTCAAATAGCATCATCTGTGCGCTGCCAAGAGCTCTTTAGCAATAGTTTATACGGCAAAAGAGTACTCTGGCAAAAAAATTTACAGTGAAAGAGATTCCCTTTTATTTACCTTGATGAGTCATCGTGACAGGTTCTTCACTGGATATATTGTTGTAAATGACCACGGCTGTGGCATTATGTGAAGCTGCTCGCAGTATTTTCTCTCTAAACGTACAGTTTCCTCGCTGCAGTAAAGCAATCCACTGCTTGGTGTTTGGAGGAACCTGGAAACGTGTTCGAGGGTCACAGCCCAGGCGATCTGCAACTGAAATGGGAAATACATTTACACAGATGGCAATTTGTTGGAACAGGCAAAAAAAAAAACCCTAACTCTAAGTTTTGCTGAATTACTTAACCGTTATGCACTAGGAAGCCACTATACTCCTGTTAATAAAGCCTAAAGCTAACTGCATTCTTATGAAAAAAAGTCTTTAAAAAACCCAAGTCTCACACATTGAAAGCTGTGACTACATGCCCGAGAATTAGGCTCACTAACACAAGCTATTTTTAACTCTAGTGCAGCTAGAACAATGAACATACATTTGAATCAATACCTGCCTACGGGCTGAAAAACATTAGAATATGGTTCATATACTACAGGCATTTACGAAACAGCTGCTTCTCAGTCATTCTGGGGAGTATCACTTTTTTTTTCTTTCTAATGCAGTCATAAATATCACTGCAGTGGGAAGTATAACTAAAGAAAGGAGGTTGTGAAAACAAGATTTCAGAGTAATCTGCCATGTGCAGGCTACTGTAAAGAAGGGAGATGCTAAAAGCTGATCTTGTGAAACCCCAGCAGCCAACACCAGCTCTTCATGTACGCACATTTTGTCTACAAGGAAGCGTGTTCCGAAAGAAACAAACGGTTTTGCAAACACCATGCACTCAAGTTGTCAGCGAAACAGGTATTGATGGTAAAAAGGAAGAGCGACAGAAATGGCAAACGCCAGATGTCTGAATTCAACAGTATGCAAAGCTCTTCTTTGGTCCTTTCTGATGCTGTAATGTATCCTGGAACAACCCAGACCCACGCAGAGCTGGGTACAGAAGGCACAAAATGCAATGCAGAGGATAACTCCCCGGTACAACAGCTGAAACCGATGAAAGACATTTCTGTTTACACAACGGGAACCACGCAGTTTAGTCTGATGCACTGGTCATGTCACTAAAGGATTTTCGAAACCCAGAGTCCACGGTAACTTATAATACAAATATATTCACCCTTTCAAATGCCAAGAGCATAAGAATCTTTGGCTACTAAAAATGGTTGGGAGAAACAGTGATTTTTCAAGGCAAACAAAAAATTTATTTGCATAACAGCCCTGAAAACATTACAGGTCCTAAGAACAATTCAAATGAAGTGTCCCGTAAAATTTTCCTTTTAAAGAAGTGAGTTCTTCAGCACAGACTATGGGATTTCAGCAAAAGGTCTACCACAAAAACCAGCCAGATTAACCTATCAGCTGGAAACAAAACAAAAGATCTTTTTAAGCATTAACCCAGCCCAGGTTAAAACCTGTAACAAAGGAGGTTCAAATAGCTAAAGGATCTTTTCTGAAAGGAGAAAGGAAATCTTTTGCTTTCCTGAAGAAAACGCATGCAGATGAATCTATATCGTGGCAGTTGTAGGGGAAGTCATTGCATCTCGGAATTTGGAGAAGCGCCTCTCCCTGTTGCCCTGGAAGGAGGGGGGGAGCCAGACACCAGCACATCCTTTTCACGATTGTTTTTCAAGGTTGTATGAGACATTGCAGGCGTGGAGGGCTATTTGCTGTATTTTTGTATTTGTGCTTTTGTTTTACACAGGGATCGGGGAAAATCTGAAAGAGATGCCTGAAGCCAAATTTTATGGAGTATTTTCTTCATCGCGCTGACATTATTACTCGAATCCCTTTGGAAATTGCTAGCTAGCACTGATCCACACACGGCGTTTTGGAGCACTGGTGACGGCCATCATGACCAGCAGTGACCACAGGAGCGCACTTGCATATTGAGTGCACTTTTGTAGCTTGTTATTGTACTCTTAAATTTAAGAGAACAGTAAATTTTTTAAAGGAATTATAGTCCTTTTTGAAAATGTGATAGAACCATAACACAGCACATGCGCAACAAATCTTGCTGTCCTCTTAAGATAAAAGCAGTTTACTGTTTAATGCACACTTCCCCCTTGTTCAGAATATTTCCACTTAAAAAATGCAGGAGGAGGAAAGCACAAGCAGGCGGTGATAGCAAGTTGCTCAAGCCTTGAAAGCTAAAAATCCCATCCTTCTCCAGTGAAATCAGATTCAAGAATCTCAGGTGTGATACGTCCTTTGGAAAATACCGTTCAATAAATGGCCACAAGTCCACAGCATCTCCCCAAACTGCCAAAATTAACTCTGAAAGTAGACACTATGGCCGACATAAATTTACTTAAAATATATGGGATGGATGAACAGCAGTAATCCTATGGATTATGTACAGTTTGCTTCAGTACAATCACGCTTAAAAATAAATACCAAGTGGAAAAAAAAAAGGCCACAAAAATAGGGTAATGGGCTATTAGAATGAAAAATCATAAAAGCAATGAAAGGCAAAAGGCACCTTGAAAAGGGAGGCAGCATTCTCAAATACAGAAATTTATGTAGGCACCTTTAAATCTGTACAGTTTGAAATTTTTAACTTAAAAACCAACAGAGAAAGTAGTAAGAGATAACAGAAACCGCATCTGTGGGAAAAGTAGTACAAAATTCCCTATCACGGTAGAGATCAAAGTGTCTTCCAGCTGCGGACAGAGCTATGAAACATTACTGATAGAGCAACAGGATTAGGAAACAAGATATTAAGAGATAAAAGCTTTCCAGATAGAGACCAACAAACACCACTCAAATGCATACAGCATGTTATTCCTGACGAGGTGGATTCACTATGTCCCAATGAAAAATTAACAGCTGACAATATTATTTTAGCACTATTTAACTAATACAAAAACATTAAGGAAAATCTGCTTGTTTTAGGTAAACCCGAACTAAGTAACTGCAAGTCACAACCCATTTTTCTTTACATAGTATCCTATTTACACCACACAAATGTTAAGTAATCCTTTCAATTTTAACTAAAAAAAAAATTCAGGAACAATAGTGGAAAGTGAGTTTTTCTGCTCATCTTTTCAATAGACTTAATCCACTCAGAAAAGAGTGAAAGCGTTATATTCATGGTCACCCTTCTAGCCTAGCAAGCTGGCTAAAATAAAACATCTGCTATACTCCTAACGTGCCAGGCACATCAGTTGGCATTGTGAAGGACATAGATAAACGAATGGTGTCAGCAAGAATCATCATCGATAGCTCTCCATTATCATGCCGTCTATGCTCCGTTGTCCAAAGTGCAGTTAGGATCTAAAAGACTAGGGCTTGCGAGTATTACCTGGATGATGTCCATGCCAGAATGAAAAGCGGCTTCACATTAAATTAAAGTTATTCTAAAACAAATCACTTGCACATAAAAAGATACGATCAGAAGTCACTCATGTCATTTCATAGTTTCAGAAGATATAAGCATACAGAAAGCCATCCAAGCGTGTTTCCTTATAAGTGTGCTATTCTTCTAGCTTATTTAAAATTTAAGTTATTTACTCTGCCTTTTCTTTCTCCACGCCTACCTACGTACCATGAACGTGTTGGCAAAAAAACAATTTTCTGTTAGAAGTGGCAGCCTGCTGGGTTAAAGAGCTATGTACAACGTTGTTGTAAACATCTCCCTTTCTCCTGTAAGCCCCAACACCACAGAAGAACCTCTTTACAGAAGGATCAGCTGCGATTTAAGTACCTACAGTTAGGCTGCACCTTTGTTCTCAACTTCAGGAGAGCTTCTCTTGCAGAACACACAGGACTGCTCAATTTGCATACAACTGTTTCTCCTTAAGCATTTTTTTAAATTCAAGAGCCCTTTCTGCTGAAAGACTAATGATTGCGACAACATCTTAGGGACTCATGTGAAAGAAATAGTTAATCATGCAATAGATCCAACCAGGTTTCCTCAACCACTGAAGAAGTATTGGCAAGCTTACATTAGAACAGCACCGGTACTTTCCTCCTTATCTTTTCCAATCGCTTGACCAGGTCCTTTAGCCTTCCTCCTGTAAGAGGGATAGCCATTTTGTGGGCGCAAAAATGAAATGAATAGACCGGCTGTCAGAGGCTTTGTCAGAAGTAAGCAGACACTTGCCTGAATGCAGACTGTCTCCTTCTGCTTCTGAACTGCGACCGGGTTTGCTTTCTCTCCTATCCCGGGTGTTTATGTTGCTCTTGCATTGCTTAGAACATAGTTGTGACATTCCACCTCAGCCAAGGCTGCTGCATTGACTGTTATCAGACTTTGTCCCCTTTTTACAGAAAAAGGCCAGTGCCATGATCCCACACCCTGGGCATTAACTATTTTATTCCATGGGTTTTCTTTTTCTTTTCTTTTTTTTTTTTTAAAGGTCAGATACCTTGATATTGATTGCATCTCAGCTAATACTCCACTCTCTGAGGCCAGCACCGGTTGCTAGAGCTGGTCTGTCTCAGCTACACATACAGAAATAATTTTAAAGTTTGACCTTCAATCCCTGTGATACAACAGGTGGAGAAACACCAGCAATATTCTGAGCAGCAGATCAAGAGACTCACTGGGAAAGAAAACAGCCCAGGGGAAGATGCAGCTCCAAGCAGCCTGTGCCCCGAACCATTCCCTCCCTCCAGCAGTGCTGCCCAGGCAGGGGCTCCGTAGCACACCTGACTGGCAAAAGAGACGGCCTTGTGCAACACATTAATTATAATCCTGCGATAAAATCCCCAGAAAAGGAATTCAGCTGGGAAATTTACAGAAGCAACACAGCAGCATTGATTCTTGCTTTTTTCAGGGAAGGGTACTAGTTCTTTGCTATCCCATTAGCATTTAATACCTGTAACATATATATATTTCCTTTCAACTCATTACTACTTGTCTTATTATCAATATAGTCCTTATTCAAGCCAGTTATAATTTCCACTTTTTAAAAGTTGCGTCAATGAATTATGCACAGTGATATTTTATTTTCAAGAGCTATTTCAGGTAATTGCTTTGACTAAAGCTGGCTTTAACACTAAAAGAAACTCTTTGAACAAGAGGTAATCTTGTTTCAGGACAGAAGTTAAACAAAAGAAAATCACTGAAGCTTAGAAGAGTCCTGTAATAGCCCAGATTTAATCTTGTTAGCTCAGTAAGATTACCACAATTATGGCTATAGACTACACTATATAACCTCCACTTTTGTTGTCAATTAATGACTACTAATTAAGCTGGATACGGAGACCAATGGTAAAGGACGGATACACGCACAACACTTTTCTTCTACTACTGTATATTTAGTGCTACATTTGCTCGTTGCATTTTCCTAAAGCTTATTATTTTGGATTCTGGGCCAGAAAGGAACACAAAATTCTCTCTGAATATTACCTAAAGCTCTGCAGTTACCAGGAAACTGTCAGTTTTAAGCCTTCTGCAGCTAAAACTTGTTCACACAACATGTTTGTAAGTGTCAGATGCTACAAAATGCTATAGTTACAGCACCATGCACAAGATATACCTCCATTCCTAACATTGTGCCCATAGTTTCTTCCCCACTTCCACCTTTTTCTAACATGTTTTCCCTCAAATTCCCAGTCTCCTTGCCCAGCCACAACCCTACTACCCCTTCAGAGATCTCCCCTTTCTACGAGTTCTTTCTCCAATGCAGCTTTCATACAACCATCACCTCCCCGCAAGCCCTTTAGACTCCAGTCCCTTTCCATCTCCCCTCACCCCCTCGTTCCTGACCTATTGACTCAGTGAGCCTCAATATTTTCAAGTTCAGCTTTGAGTCTGCTGCTATTTCACTTCCATTCAGTCCCATCTCCAGTCTTAACCACCTTGCCTGCTTCCCCGCTACCCAAGGTGCACAAAACCTCACCTCCTGGCAAGGTCCGACCATCTGCGAGGGACTTTGAGAGCACACGGGGCTGACATTTCCAGTCCTCAACTCTGTATCCAAACCCAGAACGACATGCAATAACCCAGACTCAACACTTAGAGAAAAGTCCTGTTCAGCATGGAGAACAGTTTTGAGCTAACTAAGCCACAAAGCGCTGCAGTTTCTACCAAGAGTCATTAAAGTGAGTTTTCAAGGGCTTCTAGCTTGGTTTGTCATAGCAAGAGGAATATGCTTGACACCTAAAGGTGGGGACCGCAACTGGTGTCAGGCACCTAATACCAAAGATGCTCAAAAGCAGAGGTCACTGGAGCGGCACAGGGCTGAACGCTTGCACGGTGCACGCACAGACGCTGCCACGAGTACCTACTGCGCGACGTTTGGGCTGAAGTAGCTGGTTCCAAAGTCAAAAATAACAGAGTAAGGGACTGAATGAGAAGTGCTTGGTAACCTCACTGAAGAGATAATACAAATCTGAACTACACCATCAGAAAAGCTACATCAGGCTGTGAAGATGCATTTCGTCGTTATCCTTCCATGCAGAATGAGAGGAGCGTTTTTTTGATAATCTGTAAGCATTCATATCCAGAAGCTGTTTAAAATACTCTTTGAATAAGAAATTATTTAAGTCATGACAAAAGATTAACAAGTTAGAGGAAGTAAGAAAAGGAACTAGAAGTGGAAGAACAGGAGAGAGATTAATAGAAAAACTCTGCTGCTATCATGCATCTAATGCACTTGGAAAGATATGCGTACACAGGTGCTGTATTTACAGCCAGCGGCCAACTGTGACCAACAGCTCACTGGAGCTACACCTTCACAAGTCACATTCACAAGCGGTCACGCGAATTACTGCCGTATCATTTCCAGGGGAACATTGCTTGTGAAAGCCAGTATCAATTTCATACAAGGGCCTATAAAAAGAACAGGGAAAGATTTTTGATACATGTATTAATATGACAAGGTTGAATTTGATTAAAGAAATTCTGCTAAAGAAACAGGAGAAGGGACTGAATAGATCATTCTGCACTGAGATTTAAAGGATGGGTAATCACATGCGACTGGCAACTTCAAAAAGTAGTATATAAAATATTGGGCATATTCAAGAACACAAAACACTGCAGAGCACAACACTTCAAATCACAGGCTGTGCTACTACGAATGGTGTATGTTCAGCACTAGCTCATTGGCCCTAAATCTTGAATTAGTAAATTCATTTATTTCCCTGCAGGAAACTAATAAGGGATCTTAATGCAGCATGCAAAAATGTGACAGTAAGGACATTTCAGCTCTAAAACACAGATGCCCCAGTCTACGCAACCAAGGTGGTAACAGATCACCCACGTTCACGGAAATTTCAAGGGACAGCCCGTGAATGGGTGAATGCTTGACATCAAAGCAGTTTCAGAGTCAAGGCATCTTCAAACATAGCTGCTAACGGTTGTAGAGTCCTTTTCTTCTTCAGAAACAGGAGAACTGGGGTAGAGCATTTACTGCTCTAACAGCAGAGGCCGGTGCCAGCTACTCGTGTTAAGAGCCATTAGAAAAAAGTATTTTGCAAACAAGTTCTACAACAATATTAACAGGCTGATAAAAAGGCATTAGAGCAATTACTTCCAGCAAGACAGCATCGCCTTTTATCAAATCTAGATCTAAAGAAGTGGAAGAATATAAACATAAGACCCTTAAGTGTTCAAGAACATCTTAACTAAAAGATTAAATATTCCAATCTTTCCTACTATATGAAATATTTTTAAGCCACATGAAGTGCACCTCGACAAAATTAAAATAAAATGTATACTATACAACAATCTACACAGAACAATTCAGAAGAACTTCAGACAACTGCTGCACGTTTGCTTTAACAGTCTCCTGTTGAGTTCTGTCCTGCTGTTTGTCAATCTCCCCAACAACTGATGGCAAAGTTTTAATGACTGCAGCATGTCAAACCTGCAGAAATGGAGGTCTGCCATTTCATGATTCCTGATCTGCCTTCTCACTGAAGTTATTCATCACACAATACTTAGCAGTAAGGTAGAAAAACGCTGTTTATGGACTGCTTAGAGTTTTACTTAGCTCTTCTCTCATTATTAGCTTCCAGTGAAAATGCTGTCAGCCTCCCTCAATGTTTTAATCACACTTTACTGAAGACCATATCAGAAGAAAGCAGAAAAAGTTACAGAAGCAGGTTAAAAAGTAATTACTAACAAAAGTTTTTCTTGACAAATAACGCAGCTACTAAATAAATCAAGTGTTTTGATACCTTGCACATATTAAAAGGCAGCAAATACTACTTGCAATACCAGTGTTTACGTGCCTAACACTTCCAGGACAGCCTCCTGATTTCATACAGCAGTTGGGGTGGGTGTGTGTATAAGTGAGGAATACCAGGAAGCAGAAGAAGGAAAGACTGAGCTGACTGATGACAGCTGACTCCAAATCCTACCTTGATCATACTCTCCAAGTACAAGTGAAAAATCATTTTACAGTAGACTTGCTCAACAATTTCTGCTTCCTCACCCTTCCACTCAAAATATGCTCTATTAATATATTCTAGTTAACACTTTGTAAAGCTAACGAAACCGAGCTTCAGTTAAACTGGCAAGCATCTACTGATGCAGTCTGCTTCAGACATACTAGAAGCTTACAGCAGGCTGCCCAGCAGCATGCAATTTGCTCTGAAGAAGCATCAAAGTATTTTCCTGATCTTGAGATTTGGTAAATTCTCAAATTCACTTTTAATAATACAATAGTTCTGTGTTTTAAAAACCTCTTAATATTCACCACTTAAGAGTCTAGTTTTAGCTGACTACATTATTTCACTTAATGCATTTTTCAGAGGTTTACTGTCCAGGAGACAGGTTGGGACCACTGCGATCCATCAAGTGGTCCATTTCTTAAAGATGGCAGTTTAGATAATGTCAGGAAGGGTTTTCAAAATAAGATACTACTAAAAGCACATCATTATGACTGAAGCAATTGGTTTCGTTTCAGGCAAAAATCAAGACAATACCCTCACTTGTTTAAATTAGCGTTCTCTATAAAACCCAATATTTGTCAAAAAAACAATTGATGGACAACAGCTTCACTGAATTAAAAGAAAACTTATTTGGAAACACCACAGAGTGTTCAGTACCGCAAACAAGCACATTTTGGACTGGCCATGAGAATAACAGCTTGATGGCTTCAGTCCTTGCAAGTCCTGATGGACAGCTTAAGCAGCATTTTTAAGAAACGTACACTGAACAATCATGACTTCATGCAGCTGCCAAAGCCATCCAGATGCATATCTATCACAGTGAGATGGGGATCCAGCTGTTCTGAGATTCATGGCAACGCTGTAGCCAAACACCGGCAACTATCGCTACCGACTCTCTGTAATTAGTTTAGAAATAACACCTTCATCGCATAATACGACTAGCCTACTGGGGTCCATGCTGGAAAACACGCTATGCTTTGCAGAGCCGTTATTAAAGCCGGCACTGTCAGATTATGGATTATTTTTTATTATTTCCCTCTGGGCAAGTTCTTCCTGCCCTTTTGTCAGAGCTCTCTAGGAAAGTCTGCACAGCTCAGACAAAGGCCAACCGGCCTGCCAAGGAGGCACCCGACGGCTGGGAAGGCAGCGTTACCTCCGTTGATGGGGACGGGAGCCACCAGCAGACCCTTGACCTCCACCTTGGGGGAATCCTGCCCGTAGCGGCCGCGGTCGATCCTCAGCAGCGTGGGGCCGCCCCGCTCGGGGCTCAGCACCGTCACGTTGATGAGGGCGGTGTAGTACGCCTGGCTGGCGTTGTCGGCGCCGGCCGGCCGGACCCAGCAGTGCCAGAGCAGCAGCAGCAGCAGCAGCAGGACGGAGGAGCCGCCGTTCCGGTGCTGGCGAGCCCACCGCCAGCTCATCTTCGACTCCGGGCGAGCCGACGGCCGGCACCGGGTGCCCC